GCAATAAAGCGAAGCGCAATAAAATGAGGTATGCCTGTACAAGCAGCCTGTAGAAGAAAAGTGAGCTTCAAATAGGACCAGGGGTTCATCCATGCAGATTGTTTCAGAAGTGGGATCTAAATATTACAAATGCAAAAGTAGTGGTTGAAAGGGTCCCTAAATCTTTGGTTACACCTCCTTATAGTGTTTCTTTATTTAACTGGTATAAGAGAAATGGCCTCTCTCTCTCTTTTAGTACAAGACAGCACATATCCATCATCCCACCATCACCACTCTGTAAGTCATAAAAGCTACAGTTAAAATTTCCAAGGCTAGCCCATTTCAGTTTTCAAAAACTTAGATTTGTTAAGCAATATTAAAAAGTTTGTTTTCTACCAAAAAAATAAATAAAAAAATAAAAATTTTACTGAAAAGCAACTAGTCAAAAAAGTAGTTTTCCTCTCAATGCTCACATTGCCCATGGATTTAGTCCTCAATGAGAATTACTAGACAAGATAGTTTTGACAATATGGTAACAAAAAATTAAATTTAAAAGCATTTAACTGCTATCTAATTAATCCAATTAATCATAACCTAGGTCAACAGACCTGTCAGACCAGATGACACCTAGCAAAATAGGGCTATCAGTCACCCTCTCTTGCAGATAGCTCCACCTAAATGGCACAAGGCCAGAATGGTTTCTCAAGTTCCCATGCTTGAAGTACTTAATACAGTTTGCACAACAAACTGGCAGTCCTAAATCTGGAAGGAGATAAAGAGAATGCAATATTTTCTTAATTTCTCAAACTCCCACATATGAAACTCTTGCTAAGCTACAATTAGCAATAGCAAAGCTGTAGCCCTGTCCATTAGCATTTCCTAATGGCAGTAACTATGAGTCTTACAGTGCTGACAGCTTACTGTTACCTGATAGTGCTACTTAGGAGTTACTTGTCAAGAGAAGAAAAAGAAAAAACAAAAGGGGATGACAGACTGGGTGTATAGGAACAAAGAGAAAAACAAAAAAACTGGTCCAAAAAACTGAATGAGTTACAAAGACAGACAAATTAGAGGCAATAGCTTTTGTGGGTGATATCATTTATTGGACCAAGTGCATGGTTAGAATATTTAAGCAAGCTTTTCAGTATCTCAGAATAATATATACAGACAATACCACTGTATGGGCTACTAAAACCCTTGCTAACACAAATTTATAACATATCACGACGTGAAAGAGAAAACTGATGCAGAGAGGTGGTGTAGACAGAATTCTAGTCACACAAATTTCCACAAGGCCCATCAGAGCCAACTGCTGTTTTCACCAGGCTGGCATCTCAATTATATTTTGAAAATAATATATATATTTAGCCTCAAAAAGTATTAGCTTTTAAGCCATTTAAAATCAGCTCTTCTATAAATTACCTTTGCTATACGGAACACAGCTAAAACCTTCAATAAATTCTGAAGTAGGAACACATAAAAGTCCATTTCAGTTAGAGATTACACACTGTAATGCTTCCACAGACCAAGTTTACTGAACATACTTGAAGCCTTGCATCCCTCTATTTCCCATTCCCTCCCCACCCCAACCAGCTCCTTGTGTGGAAAGAAGTCTTTCAGTGCATAAAATGTTCTAAACAGAGGCATATTCTTAGGCTGGAAGGTGTTAGTAACAGAAATCAACAAGTTCTTTGATCTAGTGACAACTGCAGAGGCTGGAACCTATGACCCTGTTAAATAAATGGCATGGACTGTCTAGGCATATCCAATCGAGTGCACACGTGGTTTGTGATGCAGGCATTCTCCACGCTGATAATCTGCAGCATGGCGGTGGGGTTGATACTGGGAGATCCCAGTGTCAGGAAAACCTGCAGCAAGAAAAAAGTGGGGCGGCACACATGGTGGCAGTGTGCACCACTCGAAACCAGAGTATGGCCAGCCAGATGCACACTCCAGCTGCCAGTCAGGCTCCACATGCCCAGATGACCACTGCTGCAGCCCTGGGAGGCCTCCAGAACCCAAGCTAAGGCTTCTGGAACCAGCCCAGGTGCTGGCCCCAGCCTCTCCTACCTACCTGGAGCATTTTTCCCTGTGCTAACCCCATATGCAGGGGCCAGGGCAAAAAGCAGTGATACAAATTTGCGACACTGCTTTTTTCCGCATTGCAAGTGCACACCCCTGCTCATGGGAGCGTGGCCTCTGTGTTCCCTCTTCCTTACTTCCAGTTCAATTTTCACCAAACTCAAAAGGGTTCTGCCTATTGACACCAAGAACATTCCTTCAAACTCTGAAATAACTGTCTAAGCAAATGTATCTGTATTTTCATAAAGAGTTATCACTATGAGAAGATAACGTACCACTTTTCTTGAAATCATAGCCTATATTAAGGTCAGGAGAGAAGAATATTCAGTACTATGATACTGCTCTTTCATATACAGTTCAGATGTTCATGTTACTGGTGTCCACAGCTGTGCTCAGTTTTCATCAAGTTCCCTTTTTTTATTTTTTTCACTGAACACAGTACAGTTCTCTATTAATTTATAAAAACTAAGGTGAAACGGGCATTTATAATTTTGCATTAAGAGTCAATAAGCGTGTAACAAAATATGAACAGAACTCTACAATTTTTTTATATTGCTATGTTTACTCTGTTTTTTCTGGTAAGATAAATGTGAAATTGTGCTACCCTTAGTAAATATGAAAAAAAACAAAAAAAACAAAAGCAGAACAAGAAATTAGATTTAAAAAATTAAAGAATACAAATACCTGAATGAAGAGAGCAAAACATCTTCAAAGAGAAACATATTACAGTGTGGAAGAGTGTCCCACGGAACGATGTGAAAATACCATTCCTTGGGACCTTCAAAAACAGACTGGACAGAGCATTTTTTTTAAAATAATGCACCAGAAGTATTCAGCATTGACAATGCAATAGACCCACTAGATCTTCTTATATATAGTTTATAACTAAACATTTATATAATACTATATATTATATCCTGTCTCTTCAGAGAGGAAATTACTGTCAACAAATGATGGGTACCTATCCAAAAAGTAAATATAATGTAATTCAGCAACATGCATTCAATTAGGATATGGCCATTTTTGTTTGGCTGATAACAAAATGAGCAGAATATTCAGATACCATGAAAGGTTAAAGAAAACACAATTATCTCAGTTGCTTTGGATGAACTGAATAGGAACACACAAGTTCTTTAACAACTTTTATCATCAGATATAACAGTAAGCCTTATTATGTGCCATATCCCAGGAAAAGGACCTCCATTTTTCTGACAACCTGGAAATATATTAAGACAAACCCGGAAAAAATCTAGCCCACAAACTGAACTACTCGTCTGACAATTATGTGAGCTGTTCACAAAGTTGGAGTGTACTCAATTAAAGGAAATAATTACTTGTTTTAATATGGGACTGGGCACATGAGGTCAACAAGCTCTCAGTAATTTGACAATATAAAAACTAAGAGAAATATTCTAAGTGGGGAACCATGCAAGATTCCTTTTTAGCCTCTCCTACTCATGCTTACTCAAAGATTTCAAAAATTTAAGCAAAGCAAGAACAGTTCTTTGAAGTTTTGGAAGAGAATAGGATATACTATTTCCCTTGCTATTGTTATAATCATATCCCTGGCTATTGTTAAAAATGTATCATTCTGTAAGCCAAGAGAATAACTCAACAGAAAAGAACAAAAATAGTCTGAGTCAGCAAGAACATTCCCAAAGGAGTTAGCATTCACAATAAGCTTTAATTATTTAACAAATAGACCAGCTTCCCAATTTGAGGTTCAAGGCAATCTCATTAAATCTGGGTGTGGAGCCTGATCTTCCCAGTGAGTCTTACAAACCCATCTCTTGTCAAGTGGGAAACAAAACTGAGTTGGAGTCAGCTCCTTCTGAACTGGGGATCAGTTAGTGCCTCGCACCACTGTCATACATACCTTGTCTGCCACAAAGATCAACAGTACTTAAGATCTTCACTTCCAATTAGCCAAATGAAGGTTAAAACCTTTTTTTTTTTTTGCATCTTTTGTTTATGTGACTGCTGTGGCTCTTTAAAGGATTCTGAAAGTCACTTGGGAACTCACAGCTCCAAACTATGCATGGCTCAACAATAAACATTACTTAAGGTAAACTTTCCTGGTACCCTTCTCTCTCCTTAACAAAGTTACTTACCTGGTTAAGAATCAAGTGACATTGGGAATCTCATACCAAATTGAAGGTAAATATGTTAAGGGGGAAGAAAAGAACGATATCAGGGGAAAAGGCACTTCCTATTACTTAAGCTCATAACACACTCTGTAGCATACAGAGGTGATGCCGTAAGAATATAGAAATCTTTTACTACATTAATTCAGGCCACTAAAAAATTGCTTTATTGTGAATAACTTAAATTATGTAAAAATACCATTTTCTGTCAGGGTTGCATCACGTATTTCCTAGACCAGAGACAATACAGCGTCTTTAAACCTTGATGATTCCTATGCAAGCAGTAGCCATCCAAAGACAATGACATGGTTAAAACCTAGGAAAGGCAATCCTGCCAGGTTTGTGTATGGGGTTAGGGGCAGTTAGACAGTGGAAAATCCCTGAACAGGAAAGCCGAAGACTAAAAAAACTGATTGAGACTGAAAAACATGGAGTTGGAGAGACTTAAAGAAAAATCTCAGAAGCATGAGTATGGGAAAAGAACAGAGGGTTAAATTTTTGT